ATACAGAAAAAGGAGGCCAACACACCTGTCAAATATTTGTTATCCTTGGCTTAGTTGAATAAATATTTATTGAATGCCTATTATTAGCAAAGTGTGTAAAGTACAGGCTTTTATTTGTTTTGTATTGCTTTCATGTAAGTAAAGGAGACATGGTCCTTGTCTTTATGAAGTTATAATAAATGATGAACACATGAGTAACCAATTAAAATACAGGGTTGAATATGTGATAATGAAAGTACATATGAGGCCCAGAGGATCAGAGAGGAAGAAGTGGGATGGGGGCATCACAGAAGAGTCTAGAAGGTGACCAGACATCAGCAGTTCCTCAGCTTTGTTCTGAATCTGCCCCCTCCCACCTCAACCACTTCCAAATTGCAGAGACTAACATGGCACCAGTTTCTGTGAAGTCTTCCTATAGGTGCCCTAGTGATTAGTCCATACCATATTGCTCTTCTCTGTGTGATCTGCAGGCATCTTCTCACTATCACTGAATCCTGGTTGAATGCCCAGGGCTATAGGCTCCTACCTTGTGGGTGTCTGAAGAAGCCCAGAACATACCAGGGAGCATGCCCATGGATAGGCTCTCAACACACCTGCTAGGAATGGCCCCTAACCAAGAATAATTATTTTTAAAAGGCACAAGATTTGTGAGGAGTGTCAGAAGATGAAAATCCACAATAATATGGGGTTTGTGACAGATGCTAAATGAAAGGACTTCCTAAAGGCCATGTTTGGACAAAAAAGACCAAGTAAGATTATGATTCATTTCCTGTGAGAAATATCTAATGCTAAGAAGTTATAAAATCATAATTGTAAAATAATAATCATAACATCATAAAATAAGAATCATAGATTAATGTATTCTTTCCCATTATTTCCCTCAATATAAGGTGTTTTTCAGAAGCTAGTGTGCTTCTGAATCACTTACAGTATTTGTTAAATGTGTATGCTTAAACCCCATCTCAGATTACTAAACTCAGATCACTGGGAGTAGACTGGGAATGTGCATTTTTAACAACTATGCTTCTTTCAATGATTCTGATGTTTCTTAAGAATACTCTTGAGAACAAGAATGCTAATGGATATCAGGAAATGAAGACCAAGATAAATGAGGTAGTAGGAGAGTTCTGGCTGCTGCAAATGAGTTTAATTAAGCAGATCCTACGAAACACATCCAGGATAATGAAGTAATTCGCAGATGAGTACATCAGTACTCATCTTGAAGAAATCATGGAGGTTCTCCAGCAAAGGTAATCATCAACAAAATGAAAATGTAACCTACTGAATAGGAGAAAATATTTGGATATCATAAATCTGATAAGTGGTTAACAGTCAAAATATATAAAGAACCCATATAATCCAAAAGTAGAAAAACAATCTGAGTAAAAAGTGGACAGATGATCTGAATAGATATTTTTCCATGTAAGACATAAAATGGCCAACAGGTATGTGAAAAGATGCTCAATGTCACACATTATCAGGGAAATGTAAATGAAAACCACGATGGGGCATCATAATCTCATACCTCTGAGAATGGCTACAATCAAAAAAATAAGAAATAACTAGTGCTGGTAAGGATGTGGAGAAAAGGGCTCCTTGTGCACTATTGGTGGAAATTAAATTGTTACAGCCACTATGAAAAACAGTATGGACTTTCCTAACAAAATTAAAGAATAGAACCACCACATGACCCGATTCTGGGGATTTAGCTGAATAAATGAAAACCTGAATTCAAAAAGATTTATGCACCTCCATGTTCACTGTAGAATTATTTACAAAAGCCAAAATAAGGAGCCAACATAAGTATTAATAAATGATAAAGAAAATATTATATGTGTGTATAGGTGTATGTTTATTATATATGTGTATATATACATGTATATATGTTTATTATTCAGCCATAACAAAGAATGACATCTTGTCATGGGTGACCACATGAATGGACTACCTTGAGGGCTTATGCTAAGTGAAATAAGTCAGACAGAGAAAGACAACTACCCTATGATCTCACTTATATGGCAATCATAAAGGACAAACAAGCAGACAAAAAACCAAGCTCATAGATACAGAGAACAGATTGGGGACTGCCAGAGGCAAGGTGTTGGGAAAAATACCAAATGGAATCAAAGGCACAAACTTCCAGTTATAAAATAAGTCATGGTGTTGTAATGTATAGCGTGGTGACTATAGTTAATATTATTGTGTTACATATTTGAAAATTGCTAAGAAAGTAAATCTCAAAAGTTCTCAACACAGGGCCTCCCTGGTGGCGCAGCAGTTGAACGCTGGGTTGCAAAGCTGCCCCCAGCCTCTGCAGCGCCGGTTCGATCCCCAGCTGCTCCCTGGCCACCGGAGGAGGGTCCCACATGGCGCGCTGACCTCTTCTGCCGCCCGCTGCTCCCCTCAGCAGTGTACTTCAGTCCTTCTGCCTGCTCTGCTCCCCGCTCTGGCTCTGGTGAATTCTCTCACCCTCCTGCGCTTCTGACTGTACCCAGTGCTTGCATAAATTAAAAAATTAAAAAATAAATAAATAAATAAATCTTTAAAAAAAAAAAAAGGAGGAAGAGATTCTTGAAAAAAAAAAAGTTCTCAGCACAAGGAAAAATATTCTTTAAGTAAGTACAATGATTGATGGTAACTAGATTTATTGTGGTGATCACTTTGCAGTACATACAAACACTGAATCATTATGTTGTGTACTTGAAACTAAAATAGTACTGTGTGTCACTTATAACTCAATTTTAAAAAATTTTCAAACAGAATTGTAGAACCACTAGAAGCTTAGAGATAGGCAAATATTGGTTGCTGTGATATGGCAAAAAGGAGGATTCAAAAAATATTAAGCTGTTAGTTTTACATGCATCCCTAGTGAACTTTTGCAACAGGTGTACAGTGAAATCTATGTGTCTTTATATTTTTTAAAGATTTATTTATTTATGCATACAAGAGCTGGGGTACAGGCCAGAGATGCGTGGGGTGAGAGGATTCACCAGAGACAGAGTGGGGAGCAGAACAGGCAGACTGCCAAAATACACTGCTGAGGGGAGCAGCGGGTGAGACAGGAGAGGTCTGCTGCGCCATGTGGGCTGCTCCCTGGTAGGTCGGGGATCGAATTTGTGCTGCAGAGGCTGCAGATTGCTTCATAGTGCGGTGCTTAACTCCTTGTGCCACCAGGGAGGCCCCCTATGTGTCTTTTTTTTTTTTTAAGATTTATTTATTTATTTATACAAGCACTGGGTACAGTCAGAAGCGCGGGAGGGTGAGAGAATTCACCAGAGCCAGAGCGGGGAGCAGAGCAGGGAAACTGAAGTACACTGCTGAGGGGAGCAGCGGGAGGGCAGGAGAGGTCTGCGCGCCATGTGGGACCCTCACCCGGCGGCCCGGAATGAAACAGGCGCTGCAGAGGCTGGGGGCAGCTTGGCAACCCAGTGCTCAACCGCTGCGTCCCGGGGAGGCCCCCCCATGTGTCTTTTATTTTAAGCTCCATCAATCCCCTTTTGAAAAGATCAAGCTATAATTATAATTAAAAAACTACACATATTAAACTGACCTCATATACACATATATATATAAATAAAACTGCCAGAATGGTAGAAAAGCTTATGTTGCTTTTTTTCCCTAGACATTTGACCAAGTATGTCATAATATGCATTGGACAAGACAAAGAAGTCTGAAAAATAATAGCACTGACCATTAGTGTTTATTGAGCTCCTACTATATGTCAGAAACTGTACTAACCATTTTGTGAATACTAATTCATGTAATCTGCAATGTGTCCCTATGAAGTAAAACAATTGGCCCATTTTACAGATGAGAAAACTAAACAGAAATTCATCAGGCAACTTTCCACGGGACATATAGGTAGGATATGGTGGAGCTAGTTTGAGGTTCTACTCTGAGGTCAGATCTTGGGGGTACTGTGTTTCAGATGGATGGAGTCACAGCTGGGTAAAATACCATGTCCAGAAAGGGTTGATTTATGATTTTATGCCAACCTCAGTGAACCACTTTTGGCTGACATGAGTCCTCAAAGTTGTCCTAGAGATGCTCCAGGTTATCCTTAATGGCTTGGGCAAAGGTATGGAAATTGAGCTTATCAAGTTCACAGATGAGGGAAAGCTGGAGTGAGGGCGTACTAATATGCTAATTAAGAGAATCATGATTCAGAATGATCTTGGCAGATGGGAATAACAGACCAGAGTCAATAAATGAAATTTAATAAGGACCTTGCTAAGTCCTATACCCTGGTTTCAAAGGTTAATGCAATTAGTATTAACTTAAAGTATTAACTTAAACCCAGTTTAATATCATAAGAATAAATGTAGAAATTTAGGAGATTAATATAACCTAATATACTTTTATGTCAGATTGGCTCCCTGACTCCACATATCTCCAAAGCTGAAACTACTGTATTTCATCTACTATGAGATAACATTGATTGCAAGATGTCCCAGTGGTTTTGAACATGTGAGAAGGGGGTGGGGGGAGAGACCTATGATTTATCCCAATTAAACTAGGACACAGTGCTTTCATATCATTTAAGCCTTTTATTTTATAATGATTGGTGAATGAAATAACTTTCTCAATCTTAATAACTCTTTGAGGAAGACAAGGTTGCAATTGCAGCTCCTGACTGGCACTTGCTCCCTCTCTCCCAGGAACAGGCTGGTCAGGAAGTGTTTAAGGATGCTGGAGCACCAGAGAGGGTGAAGTAAAGTCACACTCACCAGACACAGCAGGAAAGTCCCTGAAGGTGTGGGCAGACTCAATTAGGGAAGGAAAGGAAAAGAACCTCAAAGTGAAAGGACAGGTCTAGACACCAGCTGAGAAGCACCATGAGAAAAATCCCTTGTGCAGAAGGTTTTAAGATTCAGAATCATTTCCAGAAGAGAATCTGTCAGTGATCTTTGATTAGCCCAGTTGTTTCTGAGATTGTTAAACTGATTACTTACATCAATATAAAGTCAGGAATAGAGATTGAAGTCATTGTTGATGTTTAAATCAACTATTTTAATTATCAGTTGTTAAAAATATTTAATGGACACAGATTTTGTCACATGTCAATTATGCATAATACAAAGAGAAGATATAGGAGAGATACGTAGATTAAGATACTCCCCAACTTCTCATTTGGAATCCAATCTTCTGAAATTCATTTCACTCTAGAGTTGTATATATTTGTACTATTTTTCCAAACACAACTGTCCTCTGTGCCACCAGAAGTGTCAGTTATTTGCTAATTCTTTAAACAGTTTTTTCAAGGACTTCCAGGTTAGTGACTCCATTACTCTTTCATTACCAAGTTTTAAGGCAGGTCCTTTCTCACCTTTTCAGAAGGTATCAACAAAGGTTTCAGAAAACAACCAGGATTATATTACTTCCCGAAATGGTCCTTAAGTGATTTGCCGAATGAAAAGTTGATGAATTCCTGTTGTCCATTTGTGCCATCAGAACTATGCAACAGGTTGGCATATGTGCAGGTCACCTCTGCTGCATCTTGTCTGTCTCTTGGCCAGTAGCAATTATAAGACACCATTGATCAGGAGAGGCATTCTAATTTTAGAGATGGCAAATGTGAAAAGATGTCAATCTAAGAATCAATAAAATTCATTAATTATACTCTACTTGCAGGTTGAACCCCACTCAAACTTTGGAATCTATACTGTCCTAGGATAAGGGGAATTGAGACTCTTACATTCAAGAACTCAATAGTCATGATTCTGTGGACTCTGGTGTAATTTAATCTAATTGTTAATACTTTTGCTAAGAAAACAATTTGAATCCTCAGCTTTCATGCTGAGGATTAGTCAGTTACCTATCTGGAGAGTGACACTGGCTAAATACAGTCCTACCTCAATGTATCTTCCTGGTTCTTTACACTCATGAATGGGCAGTAACCATTACATAAGCAACAACAATTTTTCCTTAAATATGAAGTGATAAAGTTGGAGATTTGCAAACCATATAGGATGGTCCTCCTATAAATATTATAGTGGCAAGCATTAAAAAAAAGATAACTTGGATTCTGTTGTGATACCAGATTTATGATCTTAGTTGAGTTCACATTACTAAACTTCTATGTCCTCATTGATATAAAAAAGTTGATAAATTATTACTATTAAACAAGATAATATATGTGCAATGCTGAACACAATGCCTGGCATATATTAATATGCAAAAGATAAATGATATACCTCAGCCTGAATTTCAGATGAATCAAAGATTTAAATGTAGGGGCCTTCCTGATGGCACAGGGGTTAAAGGCTCAGTGCTACCACCAGCCACTGCAGCAAGAGTTCGATCCCCGGCTGGCCAGGGAGCTAACCCACATGGCGCAGCAGACCTCTCCTGTCTCACCTGCTGCTCCCCTCAGCAGTGTATTTCAGTTGATCTGCCTGTTCTGCTCCCCACTCTGTCTCTGGTGAATCCTCTCACCCCCTGTACCTCTGGCCTATACCCCAGTTCTTGTATGCATAAATAAATAAAAATAAATCTTTTTTTAAAAAAATTTATATATAATTAGTGAAGTAATAAATAGTTGAAGATAACATGGGAGATTATGTTTATAACATGAGAATAGAGAAGACTTTTCTAAATACTATGACATGTGAAGGAGGAAAAAGTGAAAAAAAGCCCCAAACAAAAGATTGATATATTTGGACTACTTAAACAAAATAAAACTCTTCTATATAGGGGGGAAAAAATTAAGTAAACAAATGACAAAATGGAAAAAAGTATTTGTGGCACATAATATAAAATGTTAATTTCCTTCATAAATAAAGATTTTTTTTTTAGAAATCAACAAGGAAAAGACTGTTAAACTAATTGAAAGTTTTGAGAAGGATATTTAAATATATACAAATTATTAGGCATGTAAAAAGATGCTTAACTTACTCATAAGAAAGATAAGCAGACATGTCAAAACCATGGTTCTGCTTTCTTTCTCTGACTCTGTGCCATACCTACCTGCCAGGATCTCTGCCTGACGTCAAGTGGGAAATCTTCCTCAGGTGGCTTCTCCTCACCTTGGACTTCCTCTCTTGCCTCTTTCTCAGAATCCCCACAGAAGCTCTTTGAAGAAGGAAATGCTTCCCTCTCCACTGGTCCCAGGCTGTCCCGAGATTCCAGATTCTGAAGATTCTAGACTGGCTCCTCCCAGTAAGGGAGACAATCTGATAAACTTCAGAACAATCAGAGCTTGTTAAAGTCAGAATGGACTTTTTTTTTTTTTCTTCAGAGAATGACCTCTCTATAACTGGACATATTCAAGCAAAGAATGGATGGCATATTTTGTGAGAAAATTCCTTAGAGAGATGGCTAACCTAAGTTTCTCCCAGTATATTCTCTCTTTCTCTCTCTGTCTCTCTCTGTCTCTCTGTCTCTCTCTCACACACACACTATTCTCTGTTTTCCCCTTCTGTACTTTATATGTGTTCTCTTTAACACACAGCAACCCCTAATATCCTGCATGTGTTACTTTTTAAAAATCTCATTTGTTGTCATTCTTCCTCAACCAAATGGAGCTTCCTGGAGATGAGAGATTTTGACTGTCCTGTTTGTAGCTCTGTGCCTTGTTTGGCATATAGTAGGCATTCATTGCTGAATGAATGAACCATCAAGGATCATAGTAGGAGGACACCCTGCATGGAGTGGGTAGTGGGCCTGATTATCTCTGGGTGTTTTCTAGTTCTAAACTCAGGATCTTGTAAGCCCCACACTTCTTAAAGTGTGCTTTGTGGCTCCTGACATTGGAAGCTGCTCCTGGCTAGAGAGAACCATCAAGGCCATGTGTACACATTTCTAAAGTGATGCAGAAGGCAGGTGCCAGTGCAGAACAGAGACTGATGCTGATGCGTGGCTACTGGGTGGTGGGGAGGAGAGCCTCAGTGAAGGGGGGGGCGAGAGGGGAGGAGGGGAAGGGAGGGATTGAGACATGAGCCTCAGTGAGGAGGGCATAGACTTGGGCTGGGAATCTCATCCTTTGAACAAGTTACTTAATATCTCTGAAACTCAATTTCCTCATTCTTAAAAACCTTGCAGGACTGTTGTGAAAATGAAATGTGATCGCTGGGCCTGGGGCCATTCACACAGGTTTGTTGTTCAGAAAGCACTTGCTTCTCTTATGGTTGAAGATTGTTGTGCTGTTTAACTTGAGTTTTGACTGGGTGAGATTTTATAAATAGAGGTATGTGGAAAAGGACTTGCAGAGTAGAGGGCAGGGTCTCTACAAAGGCTACCAGGCAGGAAAATAAACTTATACCATGGCACAGTGCTCAAAAGCAGGAAGTCCAGACCCAAACTGCTTGGGTGTAGATCCTGATTCTCACTGAGTGGGTGACCTCAGGCAGAGGTTAAGTAACTTCTCTGTGCCTCAATTCTCTCATCTGTGAAATGAGGCTAATAGTACTTGTTACAGGTTGTTGTGAAGACTGTGTGAATTACCATATGCATAGCACTTAGAACTGTGACTAGCACAATACCAGTCATCTACCTGTATTAGCTATTAGGATTACTATATATTCCAAAGATCAGTTGTTTGAGGAGGAAGACGTGGGAAAGTAGGGTGAAACCAGATGTGAGTGTTGTAACAATGTGAGTCCTCCCAGACATCAGCTTTGCACATGTATGAGTCCAGGCCCACATCAAGACCCAGCCCATCTTCCTCATCTGCCTCCTCCAGAAAGCCGCTCCCAGCTGCTCCACCCTTTGGGTTCCCAAAGCACCTGGACTGGAGCTTTACACAGACTGCCTTGTATTATCTTGTATTTGCACTTCTGTACTCAGCCTCCCCAACTCAGTTAACTCAGTTAACAATTGAAAAGGAAGGAAAGTGTCTCTCATAGGCCACAGACAATGCAGTTCCTTTCTACTCTCCTCTCCTGTCGGGAGATATGTGGGTGAGGAAGAATAGTTTTGGAATCAGCTCTCCTACTTCCTAGATGTTTGACCTGAGAAGTTGTTTAACCCTACTAGACCTCAGTTTCATCACCTATAATGGGTACTATATTATCACCTACCCCATAGGGCTGTTGTGTAAAGATTAAGATAATGCATGAAAAGCATTTAGCACAGGCCTGTGGTCACAGCAAACACTCAGTAAGTGGCAGCTTTGATTGTGCTTACTGCAAAAGAGAACCTGCTAAGAAGCAATACTTAGAAGCATACTCTGTGGCTCCCAGTGGCGCAGGGAGAGCAAGGTGAGACCCCCCCACCTCAGCAAGAGTCTGGCAGTGAAATGATTGTCCGACGTTGACCTACAGCCTCCACCACCCATCCCCACCTCCAAGGTGAAGCACTGGTCATTCAATCCCAGGAAGATTACAGTCTTCATTCAGTGATAAAATGATAAGCATTTATCATGGGTTGTATCGATGTCAGTTTCCTGGTTGTAATATTGCACTATAGTAATGCAGGATGTTACCATTGAGGGAAACTACTTGAAGGAATACATGGGATCTCTCTATATTGTTTTAGAAAACAGCAGGTAAATTTACAAAGATCTCAAAATAAAAATTATTTTAACATAGCACCAAACTGAGCTCTTATTTTTTCAGGCCCCCCCCTTTTTTATGCTTTATGGTCTTCTGTCTCCCTAACTCCCTTCCACAGGTCTTGATTGTCCCAGTGTCCTGTACACACAGCACTTTTGGTGATGCCACACCAGAAACCTGGTGAGAAAAGAGCAACAGTAGATCGTAAGTGGGTATTTATCGTGTATCTGAGTGCTTCATAACACCATATATATAATTTAATTATTATATATATTTATAGTGTATATATATATGAATTATTTTAATCTTCACAATAACCCTTGAGGTTTTTGTAATCATTATTTTCCAAATGAAAAAATTCAGGCTTTGAGATATTAAATAATTTGTTCAAGATCTCACAGCAGAGTTAAGACTTCAGATTTGTTGGACTCAAAAGCCTCCTTGCTCACTATTCTTTGTAGATCTCATAAAATCTGAGAGTTCAGTTATGAAAAAAATATTTCAAATTGTAATTTTGGGTAACCATTGGGGTTTCTGTTACACATGCTCATGGGGTTCTATATCGAGGTCCCCAGGAATCATACAACAATAAGCAATGGCTAACTTGTCCCTTCACATCTGTTAAGCCTCTGTCCAAACATCTCCTCCTTCATGAGACCTTCTCTGACCTCCAAATTAAATGCTCACAAGCCCTCTGGCTCCCACCCCCATGTTCACCCTCACCCCTGCTAGGTCATCAGTTGTCCTAGTTTGCCAGGACTGAGGGGTTTTCGGTTTTAAAATCAGGACTGTGCCTGGAAAGCCTGGAGGAGTTGGTCGCTTTATCTTGTTTCCCTTCTCTGCAGACTAGGACAATATCAAGAGGTAAAACATTTCTAGCAGAGGGAGCAGCATGTATAAAGCCTTGAGGCAAAACACCACGTAGATAGTCCAGGAGGAGCAAGGACGCCGGTGTGGCTGTAGTGAGTGTGTGGAGAGAGCATGGTAGGAAATGAAGGCAGAGAATTGGAGGAGGGAGCTGATCGTGTAGGACCTTGTGGTCTTGGTCATGACTTTGGGGTT